CTAGCTTTTAAGATCCCAGTTGCTACTCGCCAAAGTAGGAGGTGGAACAATGTTTTGTATAGTATGTTATGCCAATTGAGCTTGATGTCCCTGTCACAAGTATTTTTGAGCTGAGAGTTTCTCTTGAATTTATTACTAGCCTTCTCTATATGGCAAAAAAAAAAAAAGTAAAATTTAATATGTATTTTCATTAACAGTTTATTTAAACTAAAAAAATAAATGGAAAGCTTTTCACTGATGTTTTAAACCAAGCCCAAAAAGAATTTTTGCAAATTTAAAGATGAAGTCCATGTTCACAGGTTTTGTGAATACATCACGTGTTATCCCATGTGTTCTATGGGCTGTTAAGTTACTTGAGCTTGGGAGTTTAACTCACTAGATTGCTGAGAGGTATATTTGACAAAGCTTTAGCATGTGAAGGAGCTCTGGTGGCGTAATGCCTAAGGCATTTGACTGCTAACCCAAAGGCTGGTTAGCAAACTTGCCAGCCACTCCTCGGAAAGAAGATTGGACAGTCTATTTCTGTAGTGATAACCACTTCGGAAACCCAAGGAGGGGTTGCTGTGAGTTGGAAATGACTCGATGGCAGTGAGTTTGTTTTTTTGGGTTTTAGCAAGTGAGCACTACCAAAAAAAAAAACCCAAAACTCACTGCCGTCGAGTCGATTCGACTCACAGCAACCCCTCCATTGGGTTTATAAGGTGGTATGTCTACAGAAGTAGATTGCCTAATCTTCTTTCCGAGGAGTGGCTGGTGGGTTTGAACTGCCAACCTTCTGGTTAGCAGTCAAATGCCTTAGGCACTATGCCACCAGAGCTTATATATGCCTTGGAATTCATGGTTGATAAGTATGTCATCTGTACACGATGAATTGCTACTACTTCTTAGGAGCAGAAATAGTCAAATTGATTCTTGGATAATAATGCCAGTTCATTAATTTGAACAATAAATTGTATACATTTTGAGGTGATGTTCACGTTGTCTGGCTCTGTCACCATATAGTGCATTATGGAAGTACACCAGGATTGTTTTTCTTACTGTGGAAATAGAAAGGTTCACAGATATTTTTGTTGGCACTAGCCTTTATAAAAGAGCTCTTGTGACGTAGTGCCTAAAGCATTTGACTACTAACAGAAGGCTGGGGGTTCAGACCCACCAGCCACTCCTTGGAAGGAGTGCAGTCTACTTCTATAGTGATACCACCTCGGAAACCCAAGGAGGGGTCATTGTGAGTCAGGACTGACTTGATGGCAGTGAGTTGGGGTTTTTTTTGCCTTTATAAAAAAAAGATCAACATTATTTACTTTAAAAATTTGTAGGAAAAAAAATGTATTCAAGCTTAGGTTTAACCCTGGCTTTACTCAGATACTTGCTTTACTACTCAGGATTATTTGGTGATCTCTATTTAATCTAATACCTGCCTAAATACATATGGCTACAAGAACAATTATTATCTATTTTGATCAAATGAAATCCTAAATACATTTTTTTTAATGTGCTTAAGTCATGTTCTGAGCTTAGTCTACAAAGCACAGTGTTCTTTATGGTAGTTTCTAATTATCTTGAATGTTTCTGCTGTTTTCTAGATTTGAGGTTTTTGTCCTATTATTAAATATTATTCTGTCACATAATAAATGTGTTGTTGTTGTTGTTATGTGCCGTTGAGTTGGACCCGACTCATAACGACCCCTCCTTGGGTTTCTGAGGCGGTATCACTATAGATGTAGATTGCCCAACCTTCCTTCCGAGGAGTGGCTGGTGGGTGTGAATCACCAGTCTTCTGGTTAGCAATCAAGTGCCTTAGGCACTACGCTACCAGAGCTCCTACATAATAAATACAGAATATATATGCAACTAATTGATTAACCTTTATTTGTTCTCTTAGGTTCAAGGACGCCCACAAAAAACACAGAATATCATCATCTTAGAGTCCCATGTCATCTGCTGCACATTGAGCACAAGTGGTGGTTTACTGCTTGAGTCTGCTTTCCGTGGACAAGGTGGTGTCCCCTTCAGTTGTGTCATTGTTGATGAGGTCGGTAAGCAGTTGACAACTTTGATTAGTAACTGTGAAGAGTAAGTGATAGATGAATTGTGGTTGCTGAGATACTGATAAAAAGGTTTTTTTTTTTGCATCTGATTTTTTCTGCCATTACCTATATATTGTCTTATGTTGAAATATGAAACTAATAACATAATCACCGTTAATTTAAAATTGCTCTACCAGTATTAGGATCTTAAGGATGCTTGATTGCTCCTAGCAAAGTCCCTGCAGAACTAGGTCTAGATCTTATTTGGAACATCTCCAGTATCACCATCTTTGGAAATAGTTTTTAATATAATTTTTGACAGCTCTGAGCCATGGTATTTTCATTCATTGAGCAAATGGTTATTAGGTATCTACTGTTTGCCAGAAAGTAGAACCAGAAAATAGAGGAAATGGAAAATGTTTTTAAATTGATCCAGGAGCTCCAAGTCCCTATGTCCACCAGAATAAAAGAACAGAAAAAGTGGAAGTATGAAATAATAGAAGTTAATGTCATTCAGTTGAAGAAAAACTTGAGTCTTGTGATTGAAGAGGCCTACTGAGGAGGAACAAGGAGGAATGATTTCTGAACTTCAGAGACAAAGTTCTAACCATTTTCAGAGGGGAAAAGAGGTCCATCAAACTCTTGCCCAGATAACACAAATCCAGGATATGTAAGATCTAACTTGTGACTGGTGCCCAAGTAACAGTTGAAACCAAGTAATGACTGATTTCAAAATATATCTTTGTTTATTTAATTGTACTTTGTAGAGGTGGTTTGGTTTTGTTGTTTTTTGTTTGTTTTCTAACCAATAAAAACTCTTATTTTGATACTCTGTAGAAACAGGAAGGTGGTACTTTTCTGAACAGTTAGAACTTTTATGAATTATATAAACTGTACATGGGTAAACTAACAGTAAAGATAATTAAGACTCTCCTTTCTGTGTTGTTTTTTTTTTTCTTTTTTTGCTAAGGCTGGACAGTCTTGTGAAGTTGAGACTCTTACTCCACTCATCCATCGGTGCAACAAACTTATCCTAGTAGGAGATCCTAAACAGCTCCCTCCCACAGTCATATCTATGGTAAGTTTCTTTTATATTTATTCATACTGTCTTCAAGTGGAAGAAAGTTTTTCTTTGTAGGGGTAGGAATGGTCTTTCTTGGATTGTCAGCTTTTATTTAGAGGGAAAAATAGGGAATGGTTGAGAAAAAAAATAAGCAGAGTTTGAGTTTTAATTGGTAAACAATCTCTGAAAACATATCTTTATTCGTAATTATGCCTGTGTGAGTATATATGGTAGAAACAGTGTTAAGTTTTGGAAACCAGAAGGCTGTGTACCCCAGGCTTTTCCTTTGGGTGTGGTGTCCAGATCTGTTAGAGGTCTGTATCTGACTGACTTTAATAGTACAAACGCCAAAACAGTAATACAAGAAAAACTTTAAAACCAAGAAAGGAACCTCCTCGTTAAATTTAAATATGTGCAAATTTGAGAAAAACATTATAAAGAGAAATTCTTTTTGGGGGTGTAAATTTCCAGTTTTGGTATTCTGTAGTACAAGCAAATGAGCTCCTCACATTCTCTGAAAGTGAAGGTGACAGGAAAAAGGGATTAATGTCATTGTGATCCACTTCATTTTGTTGTTGTTTTTAATCACCCTAAATGTGGTTTATGGAAGTTCACCATCAGACTCAAGATTCAGTATATATTTTGGGCCATTTGAATAAACCTAAATCATGGTTTGGAATTTAATAAAAATCTGTATTTTCCACTGGCACGTTGATTATCTATGCAGACACTGGGAGGTAGTGGAGTTAATAGTCACAGAGAACTTAAAATTTTAGAAGCATTTTTGTTTTTAATGTTTATTGACTTTGGAATTACTCAAAATTATAGTGTAATTCTTTATATGACATCTGAGCACCTATGTAGATCTTGTGGAGCCAGAAGCATGCCAGTTGCTAAGGGAAAACCTGTGTTTGTAAGGAAGCATTGCTGAGGGTAACTTTGTTCATGGAGAATAATGAAGAGTGAACTCTGTGTTGCATTTTCTTTAAATAATACTGTATTTCAAAATTTTACTGATTTAACCTCTTAGAAGAGAGCCTCTGCATGTAGAGAAAAATGATTGCTAAGGGGCCTCAGCTGTATTTGCCACTTTGATGATAAATGCTTTGATGATAAAAGCAGCAAAAATGGGAAAAGTCCATTAGTGGTTTTTAATTAATATTGCAAGAATAATACAGACTTATTGAGCAAATTTCAGAAAATAATTACAACGTTTATTTTTCTCAACATACGTTTCTAATCATATATATCTAGTGATAATTAATGTGAATAGCTTAACGCAAAACACACTGCTGTCGGACTCATAGTGATCCCACCTTGGGTTTCTGAGGCGGTATCACTACAGAAGTAGATTGTCCAACCTTTCTTCCGAGGAGGTTTGAACCACCAGCCTTCTGGTTAGCAGTCAAAGCCTTAGGTACTACACCACCAGAGATCCCATGAGTATTTTAAGAGATTTCTGGGTATTTGGTTGTTCATTTTTCATTTTTTCAGTCTATATTTATTAAGTGTCAGCCTAATTTAGGCACTATTCTAGATGCTAGGGTTATGACAGTAAAGGAAATAGACAAAAAAAAAAAATACTGCCTTCACAGAGCTTACATTTTATTGGGTAACATTAAATAAATAAGTTATTAAAATATAGTCTGGCAGATGATTATGAGGTTTGTGTACATGTATATATTTATGTTTATTATGTAAGATTTGGTTTTGTTTAAAGGTGAGAGACTCATTCTGTGCAGAATTTCCTTTTATAAGTCAGTAAATAGATCAGGAACTTCCTTCCATGTGAGAACATATAAATTACCTCATTTTGTAGGATGAACTTGGTGGGGTTTTCTTTTTTGGAAGTAGTTGTATTACCCTGTATAAGTCACATTTTTCCCCAGTGAGAAAATTCAAAACTAGATTTTGGCTACTTGAATAGATACACTTTTGGAGATGTAAATGAAATGGTCAAATGTCTACTGATAGTTATCTTACTTAGTTATACATAACTTCTTTAAAATCATAAATAATATATTTATTTAGATATAATTCCGCCTTTTTTTCCCTTTTCTCACAATTTGTGAAATAGGTTTATTTAAACTATGCACATATATCCTTGAAGCCATTGTCTTCAACATCATTCAGTCTGTCATCTTAGTGCAGTTTCTAAATCATATTTTTAGTTTTTGATTATTTAATATGTAATACTTTTTGAATCTTTGTTAGGATGCTGTCGCTGAAAATTATATCCCAAGATATAGCTGTCAGAGCATTAACATAGCTTTCTTTGTTTGTCTTCTAGTCTTTTGTTTTTCAGATTGCAGATTGTAACCCATAATTGGCATTGTGAAATCAGTTTAGTAAAAGTAGGTTGTCTCCACCACTAGAGACTTTGAAACATAATCTTACTCACTTTAACAGTCTCAGCACCCCAAATTGTACATATTAGATAGATCAATGAATAAATTGTTCTTTTTTATTTACTTGTTTTTTAAAAAAAGACTTGAAAAAAATGACATTCAGCATTTCTACTATGAGAGCAGACTCTGAAATAAATGTTAAAATCTGTGTTACATTTTTTTTGCTTCGTTAATTATTGATTCTTTCTGGTGGCCTCCTGTTAGCATCAAAATATCATCAGCTGTGGTCTTTCAAGGTAACATCTCTTTCATAAACAGTATGTGGATATTTTAAATAGAAGATAACCTCAGCTTACATTCAAGATACATGACTTCAGGAGGATTGGGGTCAGAAACATGTCCTTTCTCTGAATCTTTGGTTGTTAATAATCTTAAGTCCCCTGAACCTTGCTATGTATGTATTATAGCTCAGTAATTGTTTTTAACAGTAGGAAAGTATGAATGAATTCTTGGGAGCTGTTGCTTTGTTTTCCTCTCTCAGAAGGCATTGGAATATGGCTATGACCAGTCGATGATGGCTCGCTTCTACAAGCTGCTGGAAGAGAATGTAGAGCACAATGTCATCGGCAGGCTCCCTGTTTTACAGCTCACTGTTCAGTACAGGATGCACCCAGACATATGTCTCTTCCCTTCTAATTATGTGTATAACAGAAACTTGAAAACAAACAGGTGGGTTCCATTTATTCCTTGTTAGTTTATTTGTAGGTTTAGCTGCTTAGGAAGAGTAGCCATTTGACTGTGTTCTTAAATTTTACCATGAAAAGCATAAATCATGAGGGTACTTTAAATGAATTATTTTCTCTAATTATAAAGCCATACATATTTATTGTAGTAAATGCAGATAAACAAACAAAATCACCAATATTTATTCTACCCAAAGAAAATTACTGGTGACATTTTGGTACACAGTTGTCCCTCAGCATTCACTGGGGGTTGGGTTGCAGATGCTTAAATCTCTTACGTAAAATGGCATAATAGTGTTTGCATATAATCTACACACATCTTCGTGTATACTTTAAATCCTCTCTAGATTACTTAAAATATGTAATACAATGTAAATGGTATGTATTTATACTCCCTCTTGGCCTTTGAGGGATTGATTTGACCACTTAATTGCTTTTTTTTCCCTAAATTATTTTCAGTCCATAATTGGTTGAATCTGTGTATGAGGGAGGGACAACTGTAGCTCCTTCAAGTTCTTTTTAAAAAGCATATTCTCTTTTACTTTTTTTTTTCCTTAAAATTTTTGGAAA